ACAGGAATGAACCAGGAGTGCCAAATGACGTTATGGAAGGAGTCCAGGTATTTAAAAAGCAAAGGCAGGGACAGAGAGACGACAGAGTGGGCAAGCCTACCTAAATGTCGATTCTATCTGATTCTAGCAAGTTCATGCAGCTCAACTTCACAAACACTGACCCAGAGCCTTAAACTTCTTACTTACATGTCCTTTTGCTCACCCTCAGGCTGAGGTGCGCAGGCCCCACTAGCAACTGGTCCCTGCCCTCAAGGAGCTTGGAGTGTAGTAGGGGACATGGGCATTTATGCAACAGTACGGGGCAGAGTAAGGGTGATGCCTTTTAAAGAAACACGGTGCAAGGCAGTTGCATGCAGGGAGGAAACTGATCACTCTGGTGGGGGGATCATCGGGAAGTTTCCTGAAGGAAGCAGTTCGTGGGAAGGATCTTGAAGGAGGAGGAAGTGGAGATGGGAAGACCAGGGGCCGAGAACGTGAAGCCAGCTGAGGGAAAGTGCTGGGGCAAAGGCGTGGAATCAGGGACGTGGGGCAGATTCAGAGAGTAGGGACATGTCCAGGGGTGGAGTAGGGGGCGGCAGGCGGAAGGCAGGAAGTATATTGGGATCACATTGTGGAGGTCCTTATATGCCAGGAAGAGGGTTTGATCGCCTACCTCCCCACACAGAGATCAGCTGCTGGAGGATGGGCCGTCCCTAGGAATCCATCAGGGCAGACTCTCAGGAGGCGTTTGAGAAAGCCTGCCTTTCCCCTTTTCTTTTTAACCATGTTCCTGTATATCTCTGTCTTTGCTCGTGCTGTTCCCTTCTCTAGAAATGCCCTTCCCTCCTACTCTGCCCAGTAAATTCCTACTCATCCGTAAAATCCCAGCACAAAATCACCTCTTCCATGAAGCCTTCCTGACTCCCTTATGTAGTTACGAGTCCCTCCAAAGTGCTCCCCCAGCTCTTGGTTCATTCTTTATATGTATAATATATATCAATGTTCTGTTCACCGTTAGTCTGTCTATCTCCCCATATTAGTCTGTAATCTCCTGTAGGTCAGGGACTGTCTCTTATTCTAGGAATAAGACTATCCCTTATACTAGAAGTATATATTCTATATATTCCTAACATCTTGCACAGATGGACACTGCCAATAAGTGTAGAAAGAAGGGAGAGGGGGAGGGAGGGAGGAAAAAAAAAAAAAGAAGGGAAAAGGGCATCAGTTCTGATCTAAGTTACTGGCAGCTGTGCCCAGTGGCCTGGCCTCCTGGTTTTATCTGCCTCACATGACCTGGTGCCTCCCAGACTGAGCCCTCAGCTTTCCCCTTCCTCCACTCTGGGCCCAAGAGGACACCCCTGCTATCAGCTGCCTCCATTAGCACCTGCTAGCTCCTCATTAACCCAGATGGCTCAGCCTTGCCCTGAGAGATGCTGACTGGGCAGAGCTCAGGGTTCAAGTGAGTCTTCTTGACCTTCCTGCCTGTGAGGGAGGGGAGAAGAGACTTGAGCCTCCCTGTACCAGCCCCAGAAAGTAACCCTCATGCCATGTCAGATAGAAGTTTTTGATCTTCAGAGCTCTGATCTTGGACAGACACCTTCTCGTCAGCTGTGGGAGCAAGCTGGGGGCCCTACAAGCGTATCTGCACTAGGAGAGAAACTGAGGCATAGAGAAGAGATAGGACTCAAGCTAAAGATGTGAGGAAAGCCTGGCCAGTGTGGCTCAGTGGTTGAGCATCGACCCATGCACCAAGAGGTCACTGGTTTGATTCCTGGTCAGGGCACATGCCCAGATTGTGGGCCAAATCCCCAGTGGGGGACATGCAGGAGGTGGCCAATCGATGTTCTCTCTCATCAGTGTTTCAATCTCTTTCTCTCTTTTTTCCTTCTTCTCTCTCTAAAATCAATAAAAAATATTTAAAAATATATCTAAATAAAGATGTGAGGAAAGTCTGGGACCAGTCAGAAAGAAAGACAAGTATCTAGGTCCCCTTTCTGCGCCAAGGGCAGGTGCTGCCCAGCACCACTCGGTAGGGGCCAACTCTCCAACCTCCCAATTCTTCAAGCTTCTGCCAGCTCCCTGAGCTGTGTTCCTCTCAGCCTGTCACATGTCTTCTCTCCACAACACATAAGGGGCTAGGGGAAATGGAGGTTGTGAGAGCAACAATCTGACAAGAAGGCCAGAATAGAACAAATAGAACAGGAATCCCGCCTCCCAACCCACCCACCAATGTACCCTGCCAGGCCTCCAGCTTCAAGACTAACTTTACTGAGAACCTTTCTTTCCAGAGAGGCTGAAGGCAGGCCCTGGGGCAGGCAGTAGGTGGAGATTGGATCCCAGCCTTGAGGAAAGTGAAAGGGTTAATTCTTCCCATATCCATTGGGCCAATCTAGCCATCTCACCCCAGAATGCTGGGACTAAAGGCTTATCTCTGGTGTTCTCTCAATTTCCCTCTTCCTCCTCCTTTCCCCTCCTTCTGGGAGACATTGGGAGGAGAAGCTAGGAACCCTTGGCACCAGCCCTCTCTGGGGTGTCATTTAACAATGCCAGTAATCACCATCTCCTGGTTTACTATTAGCTCTTTCCCTGGTGACTACTGTTGTCATCCCTGGATCAACTGATCTCTCTCTGTGTCTCTGTCTCTGTCTCTCCTCTCTGTCTCTCTCTCTTCTCTCTCTCTCTCTCTCTCTCTCTCTCCTCTCTCTCTCTGAAGGACAACAAAAAACAGGATAGTGATAATAGACACACACATACACACAGAATGGAAAGAGAAAAGGGCTTCTCTCTACTGCAGTTCCTGCCTTAAAACCCTCCAATCCACTGGGAGGCAGGAAGCAGGAGGTGGGGTGCAGGGGCTAGAGGTACAAAGAGCTCTTCTGAACCAACAGAGCAATCACATAACAGCAAGCTTAGAAAAAAAGAGAATATTAAAGGGTAAATATGAGGAAGGCAGACAAAATTAGAAACCAGTGAATGAATGTAGTGATGGCAAGAGAGAAGGTGGGGCACGGGCTGGATGGAGGGGGAAAGAGAGGAGAATGGGGACATTCTAATAATGTCTACAATAAAAATAAAGTTAAAAAAGAGTAAAAAAAATGCCTGGCCGGTGTGGCTCAGTGGTTGAACATCAACCCATGCACCAAGAGGTGGTTGGTTCAATTTCCCTGTCAGGGCACATGCCCAGGTTGTGGGCCAGATCCCCAGTGGGGGGCATGCAAGAGGCAGCCAATCGATGTTCTCATCTCTCTCTCTCCCTTTCCCTTTCTCTCTCTCCAATACCAATAAAGAAAAATATTTTTTTAAAAGAGATAGTAAAAAAAATAAATAGCATAAATAAAAGTGGCCCAAAAATGATAGTTGTTGAATCTGTGTATATGGAGGCTCATTATACTATTATTTGCACTTATACTATTATTTACACTCTTTGTATGTTTAATTTTTTATCACAACTTTAAATTATGTATGATATTTACTAACCGCTTTAATAAAGTTGCTTAACACTTAAAAAAAAAAAAAAAGACAACGAATGATAAAGATTCCTCTCCCAAACAAAATAGTCATCAGAGTCAGTGAGGACTAGACTACTTCAAATAATGTAGGTGTTTAATATGCCAGGCAGGAGAGTGGAGATCTTTCCCCTCGTGATATGAGATGATGGTTTTGAAAATGTTTTATAGATCTCAGAATGGTCTACAAATGTGAGAAGTTGTATCAGTTCCTGCATAGCGGTTTGCAAGAGGAAAACCACAGGGTTGGGGGGTGGGGGCACTTAGACCTGCCCCTGCCCTCATTACAGTGTCTTTGGCTTCATGACTGGAAGATTATAATGATCACACACCCGTGGACACTTCTGAGTCCCAGTAGCTAAGGTTCTGCCAGACACTGTGTCATAATTTGGGGATGTGAAAATGTGGTCCTTTCATGCCATGCCCAGCAAGTGCCCTTCCTTGAACAGGGCTGTTTCAGCAGCTGGTCAGTGCTGGGAGCAGTGCTTGTGAAGCCTGGACTGCGCCTGTTTGCATAGCGCGTGAGGGTGTCCCCACCTGCTGCTCCTGTCATCCCTCCCCAGTCTCAGGTAATGGGAGAAATGTCGGCTTAGGAACCTGGCACCAGGCGTGGTCCTTGGAGCAAAAGCAAAGTCCACCTTCCACAGATGGCCAGGGCAGTGAGCGATAAAGGTCATACTTTGGACTCCAAGCTAGGAGCCCTAGGAGCCCTACACTCCTTCGGTTCGATGTTCCGCTTCCCAGCCTTGTCAAAAAAAGGAAGATGAGACAGAGAGAGGAAGGGCAGCCTGTCATTCACTGCACCCAGAAAGCGAGGCGGCACCTGCTGCGGATCACTCGGTCAGTCCCTGGCCGCCTCCCCAGCGCGCTTAGCCCGCATCTATGCCTCATCACTCTGGCGCCTCCCGGGGTCCGGCCGCGAGGGGAGCGCCTGCGGGTGGCGCGGTCCAGCCCTTCCGCCGGGCCGGGTGGGTGTTGAGCTCAGGTGCAAAGGAAAGCGGGAAACCCGGACCCTGCGAAGCGAGCTCTCCTTCCCGGGAAGGTGGTGGCTGCGTCCCGGGCAGGGACTCCCCAGTCCCCGCGACCCCATAGGCGTCCTCACTGCGCAGCCTGTCCGGTGCCCGCAGCGAGAGGGCGGTGCCCGCCCGCGTCCCCGCCCCTGTCCTGCCACCTTCCCTCCCTCCCGGCCCTGCTCTGCGGTGCCCGGGTCCTGCGGGCCTCTCGGTCCCCGACCCAGGCCGGGCCGAGGGGCTGGCATCGCGGAGGAGCCGTCGGCTAGCGGGGGCCCCGCGGGCGGGGGCCGGCAGCGCGGCTGGCTGGCGCCGGGACACCTGCAGGCACAGGTGAGCGAACGGGGGCGGGGCGGGGCGGGGGGCGCGGGGGCGAGAGACTCAGGAAAGCCGCGGAGGAAGAGAGCGTGAGGGAGACAAAGCCCGTAGACGGAGGAGGAGGAGGAGGGGGGCTGGGAGACAGTGACTGCTTTTCTTCCCTTCTCATAAATCAGAAAAAGTAAGGGGTGGACCGATCAGGGGCCAAGGCCCACCTGGAGAGGGACCAGCTACTGCTTACGAGGCCTCTTCTGTTCAAGCCCTGCCCACTCAGAAGGTGGGTCCTCTACCCAGGTGGAGGGGGAAGGGGTGGAGACCCAGACTGCTCCACAGAGGTGCCCACAGAAGCTAGGGAAGACCAAATGTATCCCAAGCCCAGAGAGACCCTGCTTCCGCTTGGCTCATCTCTAAGGTCAATGGCTTGATACCTGTTCCTCTCTCACATCCTTGTCTGTAGCCAGGAGGGTCCAGGTAAGGAGTGGCCAAACTTTTCAGTAAAGGACCAGATGGTAAATATTTTGGATTTTTTTTTTTCTTTTTTTTTTTTCTTTTTTTTTTTATATCCTCACCCGAGGATATTTTTCCATTTTTTGTACAGATAGAATGGGAGGGAGAGAGAGGAAGGGAGAGAGAGTGAGAAACATCGACGTGAAGGGACACATCGAGTGGCTGCCACCCGCATGACCAACCAGGGCCGGGGACAAACTGCAACCGAAGTACGTGCCCTTAGCGGGAACCGAACCCGGGTCTCTCCGGACCGCAGGCCGACGCTCTAACCGCTGAGCCAAACTGGCCAGGGCAAATATTTTGGATTTTGTAGTATATATGATCTCTGTCAAAACTAGCTGGAAAGCAGTCATAGAGCATCAGTAAATGAGTAAATGTAGCTGTATTCCGATAAAACTTTCATTATGGACACTGAAATGTGAATTTTATATAATTTTTCTGTGTAATGAAATAGTATTCTTCAAAAAAATTTTTTTCAACTATTCAAACACGTATAAAGCATTTTTAGCTTGCAGATTGTAACAAAAACAGGCGTCTCCTGCTCTCTTTCCCGTGACCTCTCTGCAGCTTCCCCCAGGTTGTGTATGGAGAAAGGGAGGTTGCAACGAGGTGCAAGGGGAATCCCCCCACCTGGGGGCATCCAGGACACTGGGGACCTGTCTGTCCCCTTGCTCCTCCTAAAACTACAGCACCATTTGAGGCCAGCGTGGGAGCTTATCCGCCAAATGTGCACACATGTGGAGGAGGGGGCACAGCTCCAAGGGCTTTCTCCCCAGCATGTGGCGGCATTCCCCACCCCACCAAGTCAGAAATGAGGCAGCCATGCTCTCCCAACAAGTGACCAAGCCCTTAACCCTCCACCTCCTGTCCCTCCCCACCCCCACCACCTTGGTCTCAGACCTAGTGCCGCCCACTGGTCAAGGCTGGAGCTTTCATTCCTTCATTTTCTCTTTGCAGCCTCAGGGGACCCCTTTCTCCTGGACCTTGGAGCTATGAACTTCTGGAGGTGACCCAGGAAAGAAAGGATGCAGTCTTTTGGTCCTCTCCATGAGGGTCCCCTCCGAGGACTTGTGGACTCCCGCATTGGGATTTATGAGGGCCAGCTTCGGGCCTCTGCCCAGAGTACTGCTGGCAGTCTCCATACCCCAAGAGGCCCCATGCTGGTGAGTCCAGGCTGTGCCCCACGGGTGACCTGGGTGGGGCAGAAGGGAGGATGCCCAGGCTCTCTGGTCTCTGCCTTTCACAGGTTCGTGTGCTTCTCCATTCCTGTCCCTCACCCTACCTTCTTCCTAGGTTGGGAGAGATTGAGGAAGGCAGTACTGGGCCAGGCTCCCGGGACTCTACACCCATCCCAGACAGATGGGACACTTGAGGCAGAGACCCAGGAGAAGCCAAGCCCTCAGAGGAGGTGCTGTTAGACAGGTCTGAAGCAGGGAGCTAGGGAACTTTGCCAAGCCCTGGGGATGGCTCCTCCCAGGCTCCCACCTCTCCTTGGGAGGAGCCTGTGGGCTCTGAGTCAGGGCTGGAGGAAGAGCAAAGGTTCGGAACGTGGGAAGGGGTGTAGTGGCTCCCTGGGCTCCACCCTCCTGGCCTGCCTCCAGGGCTGACCAAGAAAAGGGGTGTGGAAGCCAGCAGTCTTTCCCTCCGCCTCTGAGCTTCCCTCCACCTTGAGAACTGTTCTGCTTCCGGCTGGGGCCGGGGGTATCCGCAGCCGCACTGAGGAAGATTTGTCACTAGGAGACAGGGAGGACAGCTGGGGATTCTCCCAGGCTGAGGGGGAAAAGGGAGAATAGGAAGTCTGTGGGGTAAATCAGGCCACAGGCCGATTAAGGAATGTGACCAGGCCTGTCCAGGAGGAGACTTGTGGCCATGGCCTCAACCTCTCACACGGAAGGGCAGCTGCTCCCCACTGGATGGGACATAGGCTGCATGTCCCTGGGGAGGAGCCACACCGGTATGTGCCCTCAAGCCTGTTTGCAGACCAGGGGGACCCAAATGCACTGTGCACCATGCATTGTGCGTGCAAGCCCATGGCACAGGGAACACACACGTGAGTGGGCAGACAGAGCCCAGGCGTGTGCACACCTGTGCGCTGCTCTGCGGGAGGCCCCTGCTCCCGCCCCTGGGCCCACTTGAGGAGCCAGCTTGGCATGTCCCTGCCCAACCCACTTGGCCTCCCTAGCAGCAGCCACTTTGACTCAGGGCAGGAGCGGCTCACACCAAACTGGTTTGAGGAGAGAAATGAGTCAGCTCAACTTGTGTGGATGAGGGATGCCCTCTGGAGCAAAGCCTGGCCCCCTCTACCATCCCAGGACTTCTGGGGGAAGGGAGACACCCCCCAGAACATCCCCTGCTTTCCCCCCAGGATCCCAACCACCTACACCTCCAGGACCAAGTCCCCTTTGCCAAGGGTTCTGGCCAGGCCCGAGGTCTGTCTCCCAAGAGGTTTCGAGAACCAGAGCCTGAGAAGAGGCATGGAAGCCATTTTGGGGCTGGCCCACCTCACTCCCCCAAACTCAAGGTAAGGGGTCCCTCTCCTCCCATCCTCATGCTCACAACCTGAGCTGTGACGGCTCCACAGACATCAGCGCTGAGAGCTCAAGCAGCCCCTCCAATAAGCCGCCTGTCTTCTCAGGGATACATCCCTAAGCCAGGCCGCCTCTTAAAACGTCCACATTATGGGCAAATGTCAAAATGCTGCCTGAGACCACTGGTTTCCTAAGTCCTGTTCTGGTCTCCACCTGAAGGTCTTGCTGCAGGGTTCTGTCTCAAGAGACCCCTGGAAGGCAGCTTTCTGGTCAGGGTGCCCAGGTCAGACCCCTCCATCCAGGGACCTTTCTGCAGACCAAAGTGCCTCTTCCATCCATGTTCCAGTAACACCCTTGCCCCTGTAATCCCCGTGGGGGTCAATCCCTGTCCCCCAGGCTTCCGTGTCCTCACATACGCTCAGTGCTCACACACACACACACGCACACACACACACAGTGCTCCCGAGCCCATTGAGCTGGGCTCCCAGGCCATGGCCGTGACCGATCCCTTTCTTGATTCCACCAGGAAGTCCCCAAGGCCCGTGAGCTGGAGAGGAGGCTGTATACATTCAGCATGTTTGGGATGCCCCGCCTGCCCCCGGAGGACCGCCAGCACTGGGAGATAGGAAAGGGCGGTGACAGCGACCTGACCATTGAGACGTCCTGGAAGGAGCTGGTGCCTGGGCACAAGGTGGGCCTGTAACAGAGTCTGTCCCCATGGGGTCACAGACACAAATGCACACATCTCACCTCTGTCTCTTCCCAAGGGAGAGGGCTCCGGTCATGTGGGGAAAGCTTTTGGAGACATCTTGCTCTCCGTTCAAATCCCGACTCCATCACTTACTAGTGAGAACCTGGTCATGACAACAAACCTCACTGAGCCTCAGTCACCTCCTCTGTAAAAAGGGGATGACACCTATACACTGGACATTTGGTTTGAGGATTAAAAAGTCATCTATGTGCCCAGCTGGTGTGGCTCGGTGGTTGAGCATCGACCCATGGACCAAGAGGTGTCGGGTTCGATTCCTGGTTAGGGCACGTGCCTAGGTTGCAGGCTTGATTCCCAGTGGGGGGCGTGCAAGAGGCAGCCAATCGATGTGTCTTTTTCATTAATGTTTCTATCTCTCTCTCCCTCTCTCTTCCTCTCTCTTTAAAAATTAATAAAAACATATATTTTTTAAAAAGTCATCTATGAAATAGATTCGGTGGCATTTAACACATGGTAGCTGCTGTTCTTGTCATTGTTCCCCAACTGAACCAGCCCCATTCCCACCCCAGGAGATGAGCCGGGAGCTTTGCCACCAACAGGAAGCACTCTGGGAGCTGCTGACCACAGAACTGACCTACATACAAAAGCTCAAGATCATGACCGATGTGAGTCTCCCTCAGTCCCAGCCCTGGCCCCAGCTTCAGCCATACACCCATCTCCCTTACATTTTCCCCAAACCTCCCAGCCCAGAGGAGCAGGGTTGCTGGGGGAAGGAGGGGCAGGATATCAAGAAATCCCCCTGATTTGAGACCTTCCCAGGATCTTGGGAGAGAGGTTGGTAGTGCTGAAGTTGGGGGGGGCGGTGCATTGAAGGGTTAGGCTGGGGTCCTCAGGGGAAGAAGTCAGGCGCTGAGACCCTCCTCTCTCCCTGCATCTAGCTTCTAGCTGCCGGTTTGCTGAACTTGCAGCGAGTAGGACTGCTGACTGATGTGAGTGGGAGCTCAGGAGGGCAGCCCGGTACAGCCCAAGCTCTGAGCTGGAGGAGTGGGGGTGTGAGGTTGGGTGGGGTCACAGGGTGCCCTCTAGGTTGCCCAGGCTGAATTTCCATTGCCCCATTTTCTAGGACACCACCTGCCCCCCACACACACACACTCCTTTTCCTGCTCTAGACCCCAGGCAGGCCACAGGTCCCACCCCACGCCCACATCCAAGCTCAGCAGTTCCTGCTTGTCCCTGGCCAGTGCTGCCTGGTGGTGACCTGCCAAGGCAGGTTGTCAGGTTCTGTTCCCACCTCCAGGTGTCAGCTGAGACCCTGTTTGGAAATGTCCCCAGCCTGATTCGAGCCCACCAGAGGTTTTGGGAAGAGGTGCTGGGGCCTACCCTGGGGAAGACTCGAGCCTCAGGCCAGCCCCTGGACCCTGTCAGCCTGCAAGATGGCTTCCTGGCGGTGAGGCTCGGGAAGGGCTGGTGAGGCGGGACTGGGAGAGCCCGGGGGTCCTGTCTGCAGAGCCCATCTATGCAGCTGGAGTCCTTCCACTACGTGAGGGGGTCCAAGGGCACAACCCCTACCCCAAATTATCACTTCACCTCCTGTCCTCCACTTGACAAGGATGACCTCTGCCCCAGAGGTTCTTTGGACTTCTGGAGACCCTATGACTGAAAATGCAACTATCTCAGGAACAAGTTACACCTAAGCTCTTATCAGCTATAAAGTCTTACTTCTTAGACAGAGATCCATTGACAAACAGCTGAGAGCAATAATGGGGCCTTGGTGAGGTGTCCCCCAGAGGATGGGGGAGGGCTGTAGAGGCCACAGGGGTACCTGGAGCGTGGAGAAGTACGACAAGAGAAGGCAAGAAGCCCAGGATCAGAATTTCTTCCCCAGTTTTCACTAGGAAGATGTGGGCCTTGCAGGGTTGGAATGGGGTAGCAAGGTGAGGGGACAGTCTTTTGGGAGCCTTCGGTGGTTCCCTTCCACAGGACAGGGCTTCTGAGCAGGCCTCAGATCACCACCCCTCTGCCGGTGAAATGGGATCAGCAGTGTCTTGAAAATGTTCCGGCTGAATTATTGATGGAAGGAGTAAATTCAGCAGCAGGGCACAGCGGGGCTGCGGACAGGAGCTCAGAGAGCAGCAGTAGGTCAACCTCGCAGGTCCTCTACTCCTCCTGAGAATCCAGAGAGAAGGGTGGCAGTCATGGGGGTTAGGGATTGGCTGGAGCGGGGCCAAGGGTCTATGAGGAACTGTCTCCACCCCCCACCCCAGCCCCTACCCCCTGCTCCCCAGGTTCTCAACCTAAGCCTGTATCTCCTGACCTTCTTCCCCTGCCTGCTCCCTGCCGCCCACATCTGTCCCTCTAGTTCAGCCAGCGGTTCCAGCCCTATGTCCAGTACTGCCTGAGAGCGAAGCAGACCATGGCTTATGCCCGGGAGCAGCAAGACAATAACCCTCTCTTCCGTACCTTCGTGCAGGTGGGAAAGGGGGTGCCAGGAAGGGAGATGGGCGGACCCTAGACAGCTGGGTCCCCCCGTGTCCAGTTGGGCCCACAGCTGAGTTCATCACTAGGGTGGGACCGGTGGGGGCTTGCAGACTGCTGACCCCTGCGCACCTTCCCTGGCAGTGGTGTGAGAAGCACAAGCGCTCAAGGAGCCAGATGCTGGGCGACTTGCTCATCAAGCCCCACCAGCGCATCACCAAGTACCCGCTGCTGCTACAGGCTGTGCTCAAGAAGACCCCTGAGGCACAAGCCCGACAGGCCCTGAACGCCATGGTAGGTGGCCTGGCAGGGCCAGTACCCTTGGGAGTTGGGGGCTAATGTGTGTGGGAACTGCCCTCCAGGAAATCCTGTCTCTTTTCTCGTGTGTATGCGACAGTGTGGCCCTGACTGGCAGCCTGTGTAAGGATGCTGTGGTTGTCACTGATTGGGTGGGATGTACAGGGTGCAGAGCTGAGCTGCTCCTCCTCCCACACCCCACCCTCACTAGATTACAGCTGTGGAGTCATTCCTGCAACACATCAATAAGCAGGTGCGCCAGGGCGAAGAGCAGGAGAGCTTGGTGGCTGCGACCCAGCGCATTGGGTCCTATGAGGTTCTAGAGCCATCCAGCGAGGAGATGGAGAAGGTGAGAGAGGGGAGCGGCAGAAAAAGCAACATCCCACCCAGCCGGTGTGGTTTAAAGGATTGAACGGCATCCCATGGACTGAGAGGTCCCGGTTCAGTTCCCAGTCAGGGCACATGCCCGGGTTGCGGGTTCAATCCCCAGTAGGGGGCGTGCAGGAGGCAGCCAATCCATGTTTCTCACATCAATGTTTCTATCTCTCTCTCCCTTCCTCTCTCTCTAAAAAAAAAAAAAAAAAATCAATAAAAATTAAATAAGAAAAACCAAGATCCCCAGGAAATTGGGTGAAGCAGAGGCCTGGAGGGGAAGGGCAGAGGTGCCACAGACGAGTGTGCCCATCATTCCCTCCTGGTGGCGAGGGTCGCGGGGGCAGAATTCAAGAGAGTGGAAAGGAGGCCCTGAAACGCTTCCTCTCCCTCCAAGAGGAGGACGGACAGAAAGACACAGTGCTGGTGACAGAACCGTGAACCACTCGGCTGCGAGGTAGACATGAGCTCTACCCGGTCTCCTGACCCTCTCCTCTCTGTGTCCCTCAGAACCTGCGTCCTTTCTCCAACCTGGACCTGATGTCCCCCATGCTGGGGGTTGCTCCTGAGCACACCAGGCAGCTGCTGCTGGAGGGGCCCGCGAGAGTGAAGGAAGGGCGAGAAGGGAAGGTGAGGGAGCTATGGGCAGGAGCAGAGATGAGAGGTGGACTGAGGAGAAGGGGGAGGTGATGGGAGGTAGGATAAGAAGCAGATACGGCCCTGGCCAGTTTGGCTCAGCGGTTAGAGCGTCGGCCTGCGGTCCGGAGAGACCCAGGTTCGGTTCCCGCTAAGGGCACGTACCTTGGTTGCAGTTTGTCCCCAGCCCTGGTTGGGTCGTGGGGGTGGCAACCACTCGATGTGTCCCTTTCAAGTCGATGTTTCTCTCTCTCCCTTCCTCTCTCTCTCCCTCTCTCCCTCCCACTCTATCTGTGCAAAAAAAAAAAAAAAGCAGATATGCTGGAAATGGAAGAAAGGGGTGTGTGTGTGTGTGTGTGTGAGCGTCTGTATTTGTGTATCTGTCTGTGTGTGTGTGTGTTGGGAAGAGGGCTAAAGCTCTGGGTTTTTTATGACCCCGAGTCAACCACTTTCCCTGCCTGTAAAGTGAGAGAAGAGACCAAGCTGACACCCCCTCCAGCTCTAGCATTCCACAGTTGTGCATTTGTTCCTGTGTACATGTGCACCCACGTGTGCACACTCATGCATGAGCCCCAATCCCTGTCCCGTGCCTCCCCTCCTCCAGCTGACCCTGCCTCTTTCTCCTGCGCATGCCCCCAGCTGGACGTGTACCTGTTCCTCTTCTCTGACGTGCTCCTGGTGACCAAGCCCCAGCGCAAGGCGGACAAAGCCAAGGTTATCCGCCCCCCCTTCATGCTGGAGAAGCTTGTGTGCCGACCACTTCGAGACCCCAGTATGTCTCTCCTGTGGGGACTGTGTCCTCCTTTCCTCTTGTAAGGGGAAAGAGGAGTGGGGATGGGTTCCAAAACAGTCCAGCCATTGAAGCAGACCTTCCCCCACCCAGACAGCTTCTTGGCAATCCACCTCACTGACTTCCAGTGCGTCTCCAGTGCCCTCATTGTGCACTGTCCCAGTGCCACAGACCGTGCCCGGTGGCTGGACAAGACCCAGCAGGCCCAGGTATGTGAGGGCCAGGTGTGGGGGAAAGGGCAGGGGCCCTGGAGCTCAGAAAATGGTGCAGAGAGGGGAGGAGGAGAGAGGCTGAAGTGGACGCGGATTCAGACCGTCCTCAGAGGGAGACGCAGCCTTGACCGTCCATAAGAGCAGAGAAGAGCTCCTTGAGCCAGCTGCTCTGCCAGTCCCTGGGAGAGCCCAGGACGGCATCCCCAAAAGGTGTCTACACCCTGAAACAACTCACTTCTGAACTTTGTCCTCCAGTCAACGGACATTAATGGGGCCCTTGCAGACTGCAGGCACTAGCTAGGTGCTAGGCAATCAGACAGGAGCAAAACACCATTCCTGCCCTCAGTCAATGTGCACCGCAGCCCAGCGAGGCAGGTTAGTGTATGAATGGAGAAACATTAGCAATGGGACTTGGCCCAGAAGGGGATAATTCGTTCTGCTTGGTGGGCTGGTTAGGAAAGGGGCGGTCCAGAGGGAGGGTCCGCTGAGAAGCCTTCACAGACAGTGCTTATCTGAGCACTGTTTGTGGGAATAACTAGGAGTATTTCAGGGAACCAGGATGGAAAGGAAAGGTATTTCAAATGGCAAAGCAGAATGTGCAAAGGTCGGAGATATGAAACGATATGAAACAACTGTGTGCGTTGAGACACACCGGCCTAGCAGTTGTATCACTAGAACACAAAGTGCAGCGCAGGCACAGCGGCAGAGAGGCTGGGGGGCAGGCTCCGCTAGCATGCCCATCTCTGGATGTCACGTAAGAGACCTGAACTTTGTCCCTCAGATGACAGGGAATCCGTGAAGGTGGTAAAAGTGACGTGGCAGGGTTACGTAACTGAAGTTAGAGGAGTTCGGAAGAGACAGCCAAATGGAGCTGCATTGGCTCCATGAACTGGGTGATTTAAAGTTACAGAAACTTGTTCTATCCCTGTTCGGGAGGCCTGAAGTTGGAAATCAAGGTCTGGTGGGTTCATTCTTTCTCTCGAAGGCTCTATGGGAGAATCCTCCCTTGCTCTTCCAGCTTCCAGCTGTTCCTCACTTCTCCATTCTCTGCCTCTGTCCAAATTTCCCTCTCCTGTGTCTCATTCAAGCACCAATCATTAGATTCAGAGCTCACCCCAAATCCAGCATGACCTCATCTGGAGATTCTTTTTTTTTTTTTTAAATTATTTTTCTTTATTGATTTTAGAGAGAGAGAGGAAGGGAGAGGGAGAGAGAGAGAAACATCGATAAGAGAGAACACAGATGGCCGCCTCCTGAATGACCCCCCACTGAGGATTGGGCCTACAACCTGGGCATGTGCCCTGACCGGGAATTGAACCGGCGACCTTTTGGTGCATGGGGCGATGCTCAAACACTGAGCTACACCGGCTGGGCTCATCTGGAGATTCTTAACTTAGGATCTTTGCACCCTCTTTCCAAATAAAGTCACATTCACGGGTTCGGTGAGTTAGGACTTAGACAAATCTTTCTGGGGCTACTGTTCAACCTACTGCAGGAGCAGAATAACCGAAGCAATGTAGGGAGTCAAGTTGGACTTTTAAGGATGGGGAAGACTCTGAGCAGAAGAATCAAGGGAGCACTTGGCTGGATTTGTTTGGGGACAATGACCTTGTCTGTCTGAGTCCAGAGCAAAGGGTTTATGTGAGCTGGCAGTTGAGAGGCCGGGCTCTGCAGGACCCCAAGAGCTACAGAAGGATGTAGACTGGACAACACTGAACTGAACTGGGTTGATGGGAGAGAGACACCACAGATTCTCGAGCCAGGAATGCCATGGTGAAATCAGTGTGTTTTGTCTTTGTCTTGAATTGTGAGGTGGCAGTGACGGGGGGTCTGGGGAGGGGAGATTGGTGGCAGGAGGTGTACTCTGCTCGTTTGGGTGTGGAACACCGAGGTTTAGTGCCATGGCCTTGGGGGCATGTTGCAAAAAAATAGAAAAAGAAAAAGAAGGGGAGAGGGGAGGAAGAAAGGAGCCAACGAAGAAAAGACAGATGAGCCTTAGGAAGAAGGACAAAAGCCTATAGTGAATGCATGAAAATCTAGGCTCAACACCGGTCCTACCTTTCATTCGCTGAGTGATCTGGCTAAGTTGTGTGGCCTCCCTGAGCTTCCATTTTTTCACCTGCAAATGTAGATAAATAATAACAGTCCTTGCTGCACAGATTCTCAGATCATCCCCATTAAGCAGGTCCATGGTGCCAGCCCCGGCTCAAAGCTCTGTAACCCTTCCACGGGGGCCAAGGATGGCAGGTCCCCGAGGCTCCTGTGAAACACTGCTCTGGCAGTGGTGCCCTGACAGAAATGAAATCCTTAGAAAGGGAAACCTGTTTGTTTAGTTGTTGTTTCCTGGGAGGTGTTGTTTCCTAGGGTAGCAATACTCAGTTTTAAACAGAAGCACTTTGGAAATGAGTCAGTGCGAGCCAGCCAGGTGGGGAGATCTCGGAGGCTTGTGGAAGTGTGGAAACGCAGACCTGAATTCAGGTGAGAAATGAGGATGAACCCTGAAAGTTGCTAAGAGAGTAAATCATAAAAGTTCTTATCACAAGAAAAAAAAAATTGTAACGATGTATGGGGATGGATGTTAACTAGACTTATTGTGGTGCTCATTTACCTTGTACACCTGAAACTAATACCATGTTATGTGTCATTATACCTCAACTTTAAAAACAGAAGAGGCATTTTGAATAAGGAAAGAAATCTTATTACAGACTATTTCTAAAAAATGCAACTTCAGCCCTGGCTGGTTTGGCTCAGAAGTTGGAGCGTCGGCCTGCGGACCAAAGAGTTGTGGGTTTGATTCTGGTCAAGGGCATGTACCTTACCTTGGTTGCCTGGTTGGGGTTGTACGGGAGGCAATCAGTCAATGTATCTCTTTCACGTCGATGTTTCTCTCTCTGTCTCTCTTTCTCTCCCCACCCCCCCCTTCCTCCTTCCCACTCTATCTGAAGATAAATAGAAAAATATCCTCAGGTGAGGATTTAAAAAAAAAAAATAATGCAACTTCATTATTTTTAAGGTGTTTAAATCAAATTAGTGTTCCTCATAGGGCTTGCTGTAATGAATAGATAATAATGACTTGTCATTAGCACATTAGTTAATTAGGGCTTCTGAAACTCTTGAAAATATGTGAAGAGTCCGTCCTTTAAATAATTTTTTTTAAAATCCTCACCCGAGGATACTTTTTTTTTCATTTATCTTCAGATAGAGTGGGAGAGAGAGAGAAAGGTTGACATGAGAGAGAGACCGATTGGTTGCCTCCCGCACAACCGTCACCAGGGCCGGAACTAAACTGCAACCAGGCATGTGCCCTTGGCCGGAATCAAACCTGAGACCCTTCGGTCTGTGGGCCGACGCTCTAACCACTGAGCCAAACCAGCCAGGGCTGTCCTTCACATAATTTTAACTATTCTTTCTACAATCTTGTCTATGATATCGTATCATAATGTGGAGAGCTTATTTGAGAAAAGAAAAACCAGAGTTTAGTCTCTATTTAAATACTGCATTTAAAATTCTGAATTAAGAGAGTAAAAAATAAATATGGGGGTTTTACCATTTTAAAAAAAGAAGAATTAATTCAGGGGTACAGCGGAACCTCAGGATATGGTGTCCTCCGGCCCTGTAGGGCTGCCACTTCCTTAAATACCTAACAGGATGGTGCCGTCCCAGGAAGGCAGAGGGAGGGGCTGGGGGTGGGGGTGGTTTTAGTGGTGAGGTTGGTCTCCATCTGCCTGCTTCAGGCCTGCTCATAGTTCCTTCTCTCTTAGAAGCCGGGTGACAGGGGCCTTCTCTCTACACCACTGTCCCCAGCACAGACAGTGTCCACAGGCCGCCTGGCAGACACTGACACCGCTCCAGTGGTTAGCGGAGTTGTACTGAAGACGGGGTAGGAGTGGAGCAGAGGACAGAGCTGGGAACAAGCCCCAGCCTCTCTAGGACAGCAGGTGGGGGGCCCTCACCAGAAGGCAAACTTTCCTCTTTGCCACCCCTACCATTAGAACTTTCTCCTTTTCCTTTGGTTCCTCCCATGACAATACCCCTACCCCTTGCCCTTTTAGAACCCCCAGGGGGCCCCCCCAACTAGCTGGTGTTTTATTATGCAAAATAATTTAGCCCCTGTAGTCTCACTCCGGGCTAAGAGAGGAAAGGAGGTCATTCTGATACCTGAAGCTCCCCACCTCCCTTTGCAAAAGGAAGAACGAAGAACCAAAGCTTTGAAATTAGTTTGTCTTACTGTTATCTCACCAAATTCTTAGAGAATCCTGCTGGCTCTCACTGGGCAGTCACTGTAACTGAGACAGCAAGCCCAGGGGTCAGATTTTTTCTCCCCCTTACAGAAATGTAGATGGAGACTTATTCCTAGTGGGTCTACCCACAGTGGCTTAAGCTTTTAAGGAAAAGGAGTTTCTCAAGGGAAGAGAGACTGAATCTTGGGGAATGCCCATATTTAGGGAACAAGAAGAGGAAGACACCAGTGACGGGAGCAGAAAGAGCTGTCTGAGATGAAGGCCAAGAACTGAGGGGGGGCAGAGCCAGGTTCTGAGGGCTCGAGCCCAGCCCTGGTTATCTGTGTGTTTTTGCAGGAGTTGCTTTGTTTCTCTGAGCCTGGCCCCCATCTGGGGAACTGCAGTGACAATGGGAACTGCCATGCAGGATAGATGAGAGTTGTGTTTGTAAACCGTCTGGCCCAAGGCCCAGCACTTACTGGGCGTTCCATAGCTGCTTGTTATTGTCACCCCAAGACGGTGGCGGTGCTGGCTGGGGAACTGCCCTGCGTCTGGAGGACTTTGGAAGGAGAGCGAGTAAATCTGGGAGCCGCCCCAGGGGCAGCGAGACCGGAGGCATTTCCTCCCGAGGCTTCAGTTCCCCACCCGGACAGAGGAGAAGAGTCCTGCTGGGGGAGCCCTCCCCTCCTTTTCCTGGCTTTGTGGGGGGTCACAGTCTGGCTCAGGCACCGTTTTCCTCTTCCTTTCCCACCTTGCCCCCAACATGCCTCTCCTCTTACTCACACTGAGAAAACCCTCCCAGGTTGCTGAAGAGGCCTTGGGGTGGCTGGGGCCCTTCAAACAGTCCCAGCCCCTAGTGTCTGAGGTCCTGCCTTCCAGCTTCTTCCTGGGGCAGGGCCGGGGCAAGGTTGGGGGAGATGGTGGATGTTCCCTCCAGACACCTCACCCCCCTTTCCAGTTCTTTCCTTCCACACCACCACCCCTATGCTGAACATCCCAAACACAGAACTGAACTTGGGTCTTGTGAGGCAAAGGGGCGGGCATCTCAGCAGGACAAGCAGGCTGCCCTGGCCCTTCCCAGGCCCCAAGAATGGTCCCTCCCACACCACACAGCTGGGATTTGGTCCAGAGACAGGGAGAGATCCCAGGCCCCGGTCTGGCGCACTGGTTTCCTGCCCCAGCCACCATCCTCCCTTGCTCTGGCCGACAGACTAAGTCTTATGAAACTGCTAAGAATCTTTGCAATGCTTTCTCACCCATGAGACGGATAGACTGGAGAGCCAGGCCAAGGAGAACTGGAAGTCACTCTCCTATCCCTGTTCACCGTTTCTCCAACATGTCTCTTGTACTGACCCTGCTGCCCACTGTGTTTCTGAGAAGCTTTAGGAAGGTCCAGGTGCCCCAGATTTGCTGGTTCAGATACCTGAAGTGGAGAGATATTCAAAATGTTTAACAACCAGGATGGCATGGGCATCAACCAGTCAGAGTGGAGCATTGGGAAGGGGTCTTTAGAGGTCCCCTACTGTGCCCAGTGCTACCCCTCCAGCTACTGGATCTTGGGGGCAAGGTAGTCCTGGGAAGGGAGGCAGGAGGCTTGAACAGCAGCCCTTTGCTGACCAGCATGGAAGCACTTCAATATTTTAACAATGATGGGGACCTCCGCGCTGCTCCGCAGTGCCACCACCCCCTTTTGCCAAGCCTCTGCCTTCTGCCTTTCCTCAGTCCTGCTGCCTTCCCTCCGCCTCCCCCAGCAGGTGTTATCCTTAAATACCTCCGGACCCTCTCAGGCTGCCCTTGAAAACAGCGCAGTTACTGCTCTAGGACTCACAGGGAAAGGCCCAGTCCCACTTCCGTTTCTGTCTACTGTGCGACCTTGAGCAAGTCCCTTCATCTCTCAAAGTCTTGTTTTCTCATCTGTAAAATGGGCTAATATCTGTGCTTTCCACCCTGCAGGGTGATGGTGCGTCTCAAATGCCTGTGTGTGTGTGGAGGTGCTCTGTAAACCACTTCTCGGATGTCACTGTTTTATTCTGATGGCACCTGCATGAAAATGTAGAGGCAGGATGACAGAAAACATAATGTATCCTCTCTCCAAACCTCTTGAGACAGTCTTGCTTTCATCTCTGAAGGACAGCAGAGTCCTCAGCACAGGATGAAGCCTGCCCTTACCCACCCTGGTGGCAGGAGGACGAGTAACCTGAGGACCCAGGATTTATACCACCATCACCACCAATCAGGGAGGGCTTCCTGAGGGAGGAGGCAGACCAAATAGAGGGCTTTGCCAAGGGGGCATGAGAAACAGGAAGAACTGTATATGGAGGGAAAGGGGCCTCTGCTCAGCCCACTCACTCACAGGACCAGCTCGAGAGTTCAAGTCGTGGTTCTACCCCACTTTCTTGCTGCATGATCTTGGCAGTTACTAACCTCAGTCTCCATTTCTCAGTAGCAAAATAGGAGTAAAAAAGAATATCTGCCCATCAGGTTGTTGTGAAGATTAAAGGAGATAATGTATGTAAAGCACTTAGCCAGGTGCCTGGCATACAGCAAATGCTCAATAATCAAGGATCTTTTTTTTTTAGATTTTAAAAATCTTTTTAAAAAATTGATTTTAGAAAGAGAAGGGAGAGAGAGACATCGATTTGTTGTTCCACTTATTTATGAAGTCATTGGTTGATTCTTGTATGTGCCTTGATGGGAGATCAAAACCCACAACCTTGGTATATTGGGACAACACTCTAACAATAATTAGGGATCTTAATGAAAGTGTCCCCATCCCAGGTCACCCTGCAAAAGCTGAAGGCAGAGGAATATGTCCAACAGAAGAGGGAGCTCCTGGCCCTCTACAGGGACCGAGACCAGGAGTCTGTGGGCACCAGGCCCTCCACGCCTTCCCCAGAGGGCTCTCAGAGCAGCGTGGAGGGGAGGTAAGACCCTCAGGGACCATAAGCTCTCCCACAGTACCGAGGCTGTGGGGAAGGAGAGAGAGAGACGAAGAACCCACAAGGCTAAAAAATGACATGACAGCACCCAGGGGGATTAGGAATAGATTGAGGAGCCCAGGCTACAGGTTGGAGAACAGGTTGGCACCAGCCGTATAAAGGGCCTCCCGGGATAGCCTAGGAGGTTAGCCAGCCTAAGATTGGCACAGGCTGAAAGAACAGACATAAGCATGAAGTCCCTGAGAGGGGCACGCTTCCCAAGCTAAGGATAGAGAGTGAAGGCTGGTAGGGATTTGCAGAATGTCGGAGCTGCAGGGACCAAGTTAGTCCAAATTAAATTCCCAGAGCGTGAGAGGTTCATCCTGAATAACACAGCTGTTCGACAGCATGGTTAAGGAGAAAAAAGATTCGTCACAGGGGTAACCTCAGGGTAACCTCAGGAACCCCGCAGAAAATACATGAGCACTTAGTTTATACGAGGACCTGGACCAAGTGTTGTGACTAAAATGTTTTAGAAGAGCTTACAGTCCAACCAGAGATGATAAAAACAGTCAGTGTAGTGTTAAGGTGATGCCAAATTAAGTTTGGAGGGACCGTTTCTGAACGGAGTGATCAAGGGATACTTCCTGGATTTAACCTTGACCCCTTGGCGTCTGACTCTGGCTATGCATTTGTAGGACTTCTGAGTTCTGCAGTGTCATCCCCCATCTGGTGGTGACAGAAGACGCGGATGAAGACACTCCCTCGGTACCAGATGACACCTCCGACTCTGGCTACAGCACTCTGGTCCCGGTCTCCCCCAAGGGGTCCCACTCCTCACTGAGCCGGCTGCGCCCGTGGGCCCTTCGGCGACGCCCCTTCCTCACCTTCTCTGCCCTGGACCTTCGGGATGTTACTTTGCGCCCCCAGCCTCCTGACCCCCAAGCTCCCCAACGCCGAAGCACCCCTGTACTACCAGGGGAAGCTATCCGAAGAGGAGACAGTCTTCCCAGGGGAGAACCACCAGCCTGGTCTGAGGAAGAAGACGGGACCTCGGTGGGAGGAAACACAGTAGCGGAGACCTTGCATAGGGCCCGACTTCGGGGGCAGCTCCCACACACCCCAACCCACACTGACTCTGCTGGGGAAAGCCCCTGGGCATCTTCAGAGGACGAGGAAGAAGAGGGGCCCCTCTTCCAAGGACCCCGCCGTTCCCCCTCCCCTCACCCCCTCAGCGCCGAGGACATGCTCAGAGAGATCCGGGCGGAACTGGCCAGCCAAAGGATCGAGGGCATCCCGGAGCCTGGGCACAGCAAGCCTCCGAAGCTGACTCGGGTGCAGTTGCAGAGGATGCGTGGGCCCCCCGTCATCCGGCTAGACACGCCCCTGTCCTCATCGTGAGTGCTGCAGGGAAGGTGGCATGGGAGGGAGCAGGGGAAAGCCGTTTGGAGTGGGTGGCAGAGTAGGAGGTTGGTGGGGAGGGGTGAGCATAGGAGGGCGGCACCAGAGCAGGGGCCACTGCAGGGAAGGGCCCTTAGCCCATGTCTGCCTACACCTAACGCCCACCTCCTTTCTTTTCAGAGAGGTGTGAGGAACATCAAGACCTTTGGCATTGCTCCCTAAGGAAATCTCTCCCCCAAGCGTGCTGGTCACCACCCCTACCCCAGAACTCCACCTCAGACCCACACTCCCCATGACTCCTGGCCCAGGATCCCTGTGCTTCCTGCTCCGGCTCTGGAGAATCCAGAGCTGCACCTCTGTACCAGACACCCGAGCCCACATAAAGTTGTGCACAGAAATGACTGCCCAGTCAGCACTAGATGAGGACAGGAAGAGCCTGAGGGGGTCGATGTGAGCACAGGCTACTCCTCCGGCAGTTGGCATGTTGGTGGTGGGGTATCTGGCCAGAGCTTAGGACTTTTCACCCTCCCACCTGTCTGGATCCAGGTCTCTGCCCCAGGCCTCCCTCCACTCAGAAAGACCACTCCCTCCAGGAGCAGAACTTTAATTATCCAGTTTTAGTGTATTTACAAAAGTCCACAGCGCCAGCTGGATGCCCCTTTGTTGTGTGCTTGCCCCTGCCGTGGGACAGTGCGGCTTACTCCATGCTGCCCTGGCAGGGAACAAAGGGGTGCCAGGTTTCTATTAGGATAGCATAATCGATACAGAGATTGCTTATGTACTGTGAAAAAGGCTCAGGGGCCCCTGAAGGGCCTTATTGGGTCCTCCAGGCCCAAAATAGGCAACAAGGCATGATACCCCTTATCCCCACAACCACCCACTTGGGCTCCTGGCACACTCAGCCTCTCACAACCACACACACGACATCTACAACCACACACATCTATCTAGCTGTTACTCTCTCTCTCACACACACACACACACACACGCAGCTGACCCTGGCAGTGCTCAGGCAGCTCAGAAAGCTATGTACACTGAGGGAGTAGCACCAAGTCTGGCTGCCAGCTCATGCCTGCCCCTCCAAGACCCTTCCTCTCCAGAAAAAAGAGGGTCCCGAGGGCACGTTGCAAGGTCCTTCAGGGGTCCTGGTGCAGGAAACAGCTGTCCTGGGGCAGGCCCCTTCCAGGGGGTGTGGCCTCATCTGGGAAGGTGGGTCAGCGGCGAGAGGGAAGCTGGACCACACAGGGTGGCCTCTATGTCCTCCAGGCAGCCGTGCAGTTCCATGTCGCGGAGCACCTGACCCAGGAGCTCCAGCGTGGCCTCTCGGCGAGGGGTGCGCTGCCGCCAGGCCGCCAGCATGCTGTAGTGCGCCTCGCGCAGGCAGCGTCCGTTCTGCAGCTCCAGCAGCTCGATCTCGTGCTCGCTCAGCCCCAGGCGCCGCACCAGCTCCTTCCAGCGGGACGGGGGCACGCCGTCCACCACAGCATACAGCGTCGCTGGGTCGGCTGCAGGGAAGCGGGTGTGAGCCTGGAGCTGGGCTCCCAGGCCTGCCCTGGCCGGCTCCGTGCTCAAGCATGCTCCCTCTCGGAGCCCTCCCGGCATCCCCGGCATCCCCCGCCCAGATTCCTGACTGGGTGCTCACCATCTGGGCGCTGCTGCTGCTGCTGCTGCTGTTGCTGCTGCTGCGTGTAGGTGCTGCCCTCCCACTTTGGAAGAATGGTGGGGATGGGGGTGGAGGCTGGAGCTGCATTGAGGAGAAGGCCAGCCCCCTGGTGGGATGAGGCCATCTGTGCCGCTGATGCATCTCTGTGATGGGACCAGTCACTAGGGGTGAAGGTGGGACTTGGGATGCAGTTGGGGATGGGACTGAAGCCTGTGGTGGGGCTGAAGCCTGGGGCCAGGTGCTCAGACACCCTCTGAAAGAGACAAGGCACAGCGTTAGTGGGGGAGAGTGAAAACAGCTCAGCCCTCTTTATCCTGGATGGGGTTGGGACTAGAGGAAGTTAGGGGATCCTGAGGGTCAAAGGTGACAATACTTAATTTGGTTCTTACACTATTACAATGGACAGTAAGGGAAGATTGGGGGTGGGTCCCTGGTTTCATCTTACCTCTTTTACAGGTGTCGATTTCCTGCAAACTGAGAAAAAAAAAGAAACAAAATGTCACAAATTTCACTTCCTTTCTCAACCCTGGCACCCATACCGGGGCTGGCCCTGGGGACTTGTGGTGGCATGGTTCAGGGCCTATGTGGCCCCAGGGACAAGAGAACTGCTGATGCAGGATGACCTCTCACCAGCCATCCAGGGCCACCTCCTGCCAAGGGAGCCTTCCACATCAAACTAAGGGGACGCTCATTTCCCTCCACGCAGGTGGACCTCACCACCCAGCCTCCTCCCACATCCCCACTGGCACCCCTTCCCCTCCCAGACGACCCACTCACAAATGGACTGGAGCTTGGGTTTCCACCGTTGGAAGTGGCATATTAACCCCATGGAGACGAGGGATAAAAGGCAGAGGCCAAAGAAGATCACCAGGGGCAGCAGCACTGTGGTGCCTGGAGACAAAGCAGGTTGCGGTCAGAAGGGGACTGCAGGTGGAAGCGGGGCTGGGGTGGGTGCCGGGCAGGGTCAGGAGAGGGCAGGTGAGCATGAGCACCGGGTCATTTCTCCTCACCTGGGTCCTGAGCGCCCTTAACAGTTTCAGTGGTGGGTAGGCACAACTTGGTGCACTCCGAGTCTTTCTCGCAGCTAAAAGAAGAAATCGCACAGGTGAATAAGGGCCCCACCATAGGAGGAATACAGGTTTAAGACAAAGGAAAAAGCACATTGTTGGAAATTCTCAGCTTTACAAATAGTTTAGCTATCTCTTGATAAACAATGGAAATTTAAACTACCTTGGAAATTGATGCAAAGAAATGAAGTAGGTTAATCACAAAATCATTTAATTTAGAACAGGAATTGATCTTAAAGAGTCTAGGTAGAAAAACAGTTAAAAGCAGTCAAGGTCAGGGTTTAAATTACAGCCCAGTCATTGGCAGTGTGTCTCCAAGCAAGTCATTTGACCTGTGCCTCAGTTTCCTCCTCAGGAAAACAGGCACCCTACCCACCTGTCAGGATTGAGGAATGAGTGAAAGAATTCTGCATGACATATAGTAAGGGCTCAAAAAGTGGTAGCTGTCATTGAATTGTTTTTATCGTTGTTCTGCTAAGAGAATCCTGTGGCAAAGAGAGGTCAAAGAGCTTGTTCTCCAGATGGCACTGCTATTAACAATACCTGACTTTGAGAGAGGGGTCCAACGTGCATGTGAAAAATTTAAAAATAGCCCTGGCCAGTTTGGCTCAGCGGTTAGAGTGTTGGTCTGTGGTCCAGAGAGACCCAGGTTCGGTTCCCACTAAGGGCACGTACCTCGGTTGCAGTTTGTCCCCGGCCCTGGTTGGGTCGTGTGGGTGGCGACCACTCGATGTGTCCCTTTCACGTCGATGTTTCTCTCTCTCCCTCCCTCCCACTCTATCTGAACAAAAAAATGGAAAAATGGCCTCGGGTGAGGATAAAAAAAAGAAAAATTAAAAAATACACATTGCTAGGGAGCACCAGAGAGACTCCGGAACAAGCACACTTCCCATGTTGGGAGCTGTCGTGGGCAGCATGGAGTGATGAGAACCACTAGGAGGCCTCGAAAGACCTTGAGAAGGTGAGTTCACAGCAGGAGTCTGAAAGCAGAGTCACTTTTGCCCACTTCACAAGCTCATGAGAACCACACGGGATGGGTGTAAAGCTCTTTTAAGAAGAGACAAAATTCAGTAGAAAAAAGAAAAGAGTTTCTTGTCACTTTGTAGCTGCATTTTGTGGTTCTTACCGCTTCACCAAGTGGATGTCATTATCCTTACTGTAACGGTAGGAAGACTACAGCTCAGGGATGTTTAGTCACTTGCCCAAAGCTGCACAGCCAGTAAATGGCTAGGTTGAGATTTAAACCCGGGTCAGTTCAACTTTAGAGCCTCAGAGTTCCTTCTATGAAGAAAATATGCAAGAACAGCCTCGTGGAGCCAGCAGTGAGGCGGCCTAGTACAGGGACTGGGGAGGAAACACCATATTGCCTCACACCTAAGATATCATCAATAATAAGAGGCATCATTATTTGCATAACACACACTCACACAGAGCTGCCAGTCAAACCGTGATACATCATCAATTGTAAGATGTAGTCTGATTTCAGAGATGTGAGTCAATAGTATATCCTGTCACCCAAGAATTTCAACATCAAAAAAACAAAAGAATCTTAATGTCTATGATAGAAAAACCACAAGTCCTTGGTATATAAGCCTCTATCCCCAAAGGCTTCTTAAGATTTGATGAACACATTGGGAGAAAGGAGGACTCTCTGGGGTCTTGACATGAAGTATTTCCCACTCAAAGAGCCAGTAGGAGTCAGAGCACCCTGAGGTGTCTCCCTTGTCCAGTGGTGGCTCTCACCACAGCCACCCCATGCCCCCTGACCCAGTGCCCAGCTGCTGGCAGAGATACTCACTTAACACAGGGTTTGCACTCGTTGTTTTTCAGAAAGAACCCTGCATGGCAGGTGCACACGGTGTTCTGTTTATCACTGCCTGTGGGGAGAGGGGCAGCACAGCTAAAGGAGGACCGCCCTGCACTCTGAAAGGCAGAGGGAGAGCCAGGAGGGGCTGGGAGATCCCAGAGAGGAGGTGTTTCCACAGACTACAGGAGAGGGATGATGGAAAGTGTTGTGCCTTGGGGCAGGGGTCCAGAAAGGTGCACACCCCCTCCCGTACAGGGCCCGCCCCTGAAGTGAGGATGGGCTGGGGTCAGGAGGGCCGTGCTCACAGGCGATTTGCACCGTGCCATTGAGGCAGGTGCTACAGTTTTGGCACTGGAAAACAGTGTCACTCAAATACTTCTGGTACTGGTTCTTCCTGCAGCCACACACAGTGTTCTGGTCCACTCTGCAAGAAGAAATCTCCACCTGGTTCATTTCTGGTGAGGGGAAGAAACGGGGTATGAGCCTCTCTGCGGACACACTCACACCATGCCCTCTGTCATGCATGCATACGCACCCCTGCCCACACCCAGCAGTGCAGACATGCATACCCTCACAGACGGATACACACCTGTACCCCTCTCAGTACCCACCTGGCCCATCCTATTTAGAGCACTTGACCTCTCAAGACTCACCTGTTCGGCATTTGGAGCAGCTGAGGCATTGTCTGAGGTAGTTCTCACATTCAGTGTAGGTGCCGCTTTCACACTCCCTGCAGTCTGTGTCCAGCCCTGGCGCTGGACAGTCTTTGTACAGGTAGGTCCCTGTGATTGGGGAGTCTGGATTAGGCTGCAGCCGAGAGCTCAAGGGAGGAGCCCCATGCCAGGGAGAACAGCCTGGACTGCCTCTCCAAAGTCTTTAGGAGAGCAAAGGAGGAAGAAAATCTCAGCTCAAGAGAAGCAGCTCAGTTAGGAGACTTGGGGACAGAGACCCCAGGTTCTAGAACATCTGGAAAAAGCAAAGAAAGTAGCAGGGCCCCATAGCCGAGATGCACCGTTACCACTTCCGCCTACCTTTATGGCACTTCGTACAGCAAATGGAATCGTTCTGAGGGTGGGTGTATTTTCCCTGGGGGCACTGGCTGTCTCTCTTCTCCCAGTCCCTGCAGCGAGGGACCAGTCTAGCAAACCCTGAAGGGTATCTTTCCACCAGCAGAGCCAGGAGCACCTGTGGAAGAATCAGTGGAGGAGATCCCATCAGGATCAAAGCTCGGACAGTTGAAAACCATGCAATCTAGTGCTTAATTGTTCTCTAGCTGTGCTGTGTACTAATGACCTGTGTCCCTTCAGCTCAAGGCTGGAGACCCCAGGCCCAGCTGTCTTTTATCCTTACTTCCCCATAGCAGCTAATAGTGTTGGACACAGGGCAGATGTCCAGGGAATGTGTTGTTGCATTTTATTGGGAAGTGGTAGGTCACCTCAGTTCCGGGCCTTCCTTCCCAACAAGCAGTCCCAAAGGCTGAGGTGGTGTTTCTCCATCTGAGTGCTGTGTTACCACAAAGTGAACACTCGGGGAGGTGGCCCATTGGGATCTACACTCTCCTGTATTACATTATACCAGTCAAAGGTTCTTTATAACATCAGATTGGAATGGAAGTAAGTGATGTCTCTGTGGGCACTGTTCCTGGGCAGTGCGCAGAAGCAAAAGGAAGAGTTTTTTGCTTTTGTTTTTGTTTTTGGTTGTTGTTCCATCCTCACCTGAGGATATTTTTCCATTGATTTTTAGATAGAGTGGAAGGGAGGGAGGAGAGAATGATATCAATGTGAGAGAGACACATCGATGGTTGCCTCCTGCAAGACTTCAGGGCTAGGGATCAAACCTGCAACCCAGGTACGTGCCCTTGACAGGGAATTGAATCCGAGATCCTTTGGTTCTCGGGCCGATGCTCTAACCGCTGAGCAACACCAGGCAAGGTGGAAGAGTTTCTTTATAGAAGTTTGTATCAAAACCTCATTCAGGATCCCACCCTCAGACTCCATGCTGCATCCCCTTCCACCACTAAATCTGCACAAATATTCCAGGTTGGCCAGGGCAAATGGGAAATGGAGTAAAAGGGAAACTTCATGGTCAAGGATGGGGTAGGTGGGTGACAAAGTTTCAGTGGAGACAGGAGTGGGCAAAGGCATGTAGGTTACATGCAGCTAGAGCTGGCCAGAGGCTGGTGATCCAGCTCAAGTGACCATCAAGTTAAGAGCTAAGGGTGTGCCGCGGGTCCGGAAGCTCCTTGCACATTGAGGCATTCTGGAAGGTGTGTTTTACAGGCTGGGGCCAAGCCCACAGTAGCTGGATCACGGGCCCATTTCTGGCTGAGGGGCCTGGACAGCAAGCCAGGAGTCCCTGTTGAGCTCCAACCCAGACTTTGCTCTTTGTTCAGCCTCCTGGTGGCTTTCCCTAGGCCTTGATTTTTATTTTTTCTCTGCTGTTACGAGCCACTTTATGTAAAGATAAGAGGATGTCCTCAACATATGTTAAACAATGGGAGCAACAGACTAATTAGATAATCTCAACAGGCAGGTAGGCAGCTCACACCCTGAGTCACCCACTGGGAGACTGTAGCAACCCCAAAGCCCGTGCCTCGGGCACTCACAGGAGAAGCCACGCTCAGAAACACAGCAGCAAACCCCAGCAGCCCCCTACCCAGGGGGCAGCGGTCTTCCCTGGCCCACGTGGGCACTGTGCCACATGCCCTGAGCACAGGACTGCGGCTTCCAGGGCAGCAGGAAGAGTGTGAGGTGGTTAATGAGAAGCACTTCCCGATCCTGAAAGAGCTTTCCCCGAAGAAGAGCTCACAGCACCTAAGGTCATGGGCACTTGGCACCCCATCCAGGGAGGCTGGGAGCAAAGCCAACCAGCAAAGACAGAGTCAGGAAGGACTGGGGGGCTCCAGTTCAGGGACAGCCTTGGCAGGGAGCTTTTCAGGGAGCTTTTCAGGGACCTCTGGCCTATAAGGAATAAACTTCCCAGGAAAGCAGGAGGGAGGGAAGCTTTCTCAGACCACATGTCCCCTCCTTCCACAGCACTTTGGGGGTTAAGTCAGATCCGGGAAAGTGAAATCTTTTCCCAGAAGCTCCTCCCAGTGACTCAGGGCAGAGGGAGGGAGACAATCTGGGGGAGGGGAGAGGGAACCAGCAGCTTCCCCAGCTCCTCAGGGGTCATGAGTCAGCATAAAGACTAAGGGACCAGCCAGCAGTCAGTCCCATCTGATAACTTCCTCCTGTGGGCCAGTCTCTCCCTCCAGTCCCCCCAGAGAGCCCCCTTTCCTCCCCTCCTCAAAAGAGCCGGGCAATGGACCCCTGTCCCACAGGGCCCCCCTATTTCGGGAAATGGTTCCCTCTCCCTTTCCATCCCAAAGGGAAGTCTCCCTCGACCTCAACCCCTGGCTTCCTCCCATCAAGTCACTACCCACCCCTCCCTGAGGGCCACTCAATTCCTTCCCGCCCCTCAGCATCCTTCCTTTAGACTAGGCCCCATCCTGGCTCCTCCTCCCAGCTCAACAAGTCCCCTCCAGATAAACTCCATCCCTGGGTTCTCCCGCGGGCCCCAGTTCCAGAAGGAAGCCAATCAAAGCTGCCCTCCTCCCACCCGGGTTCACTGCATTCCCATAGCCTGGCTGGTTCTGGCCAGTTAGGTTGAGTTTGGGGACCTCTCTAGGGTCCCAGACAATCCTTAGGAAATAGGGCCAGTTCTATCCCCTCAGTCCCTCCCCCAAACCCACTGGCAGCACAGGCTTCCTGCCCTGAACACCCACTTCCAGGAGGGAACAAACAAGAGGGGACATAAGACAGTCGGTCTGTTGCACAGGTCTCTCATGCCCCGAGCAGCAGCACCGTGTTAGCACACACACTGGCTCAGGTGAGCACCATCCTTAGTGGCTGCATCTTGCAGCCAATCAGCAGAAACAGGTAAGCTCAGAGCACCCAACCCAAGTCCCAGTGCCTGTCATCTGGAGCAGGGGAAGGGCAGGAAGCTGGGGGTGCCTGTGGAGAGACAGTTGAGGGGGTGGCCCACCACCCCTCCAACTCCCCCACAACTTCCGCCTGGGGAAGCTTTAAAGTGTGACTTCCTGTGCTGGGCCTGCAGCGCAGGGTGGAAAGCGACCCTGTGGTATACTCTGACCCAGCCACCTCACTAGACGGCTCGGCGGTTCCCTTCCCCCATCAGATTTGTGTCCATTAAGTTATATCTGTTCACTTGATGTCAGAATCCTTGAGTTCACGATAGCTTCTCCAAAGGCCCGGTTGCAATCACACCTCCCTGCCCTGAAGCCCTCCTTTAATGACGCCTCCCCTGCCAAAGCTCATTAGATGCTCAGCCCCCTGTGAACTTTAATAACGTGAATTAACTTGATGTGTTCTTGGCTCTTATCATAATATAATTATCTTGGGTGAGCAGATATGATCTCCCCAATAGACCATAAACTCTCTAAGAGATCAGAGAGAGTATCTTGGTCAGACACAGTGGCCTATCTTCCTGGGTATCTTCTCAGCACCCAGACCTGGGGGAGCAACACAAACACAGCTGATCTGACCACCGATCTGTCCTCCACTCCAGGGGAAGACAATGATTTCCAAAGCGGGGAGAAGGGAGTCAGTGCCCCTCTCCTCTTAAGAATGTATTGATCTCCAGGGGACAGTTCTCCAAGTACCCACCTCCATTCCACACTTGCCCACCCTCTCTGGAGACTGTGATAAGTGTTCCTGTCCTCACTCTTTGAGAGTCACTGGTGAGTAAAAGCAGCACCTTCGAACGATACAAACACCGATAAGAGTTTGAGAGCCTCTGCTCTGGCTCAGTAAGACACATACTTCACTTGGCTATTCCCCGGACCCTTAACATGCCCCAGACTAAATGTCTCAATATCCTGGCCTAGAGAAATGTCACACTATCGACTTCTCAGCACCAAGGCTGAGACCTCTGCCACCTTTCTCTCTGCAGGGCCCTCCCTTCCCTGCTACCATCCAGCCCATCATTGTCTTGCCAGTTCCTCCTCTGTGTCCTCTGGTCCTCTCACGTCCACGACAGCCTCACACCTGGATTATTGCAACTGTTGACTGCCCAGCCATTTTCCTGCTGCAACTCATCCTACAGATTTCTTATCTGCATCCATGCTTCAACTTGCACTCGCATGTGTGGGAACCTTCCTCTCCAGGGCCGGACCGTGACATCACTTCCATAGGTCACTGCTGTTCTGAGCACATTCCTGGACAGTGAGCCCTCAGAGAACCCCGAATGGATAAGTAAATTAATTCATTCTTGTACCTGGGTTCACGGTTCAAGATGCTCTCTTCATCCCCTCCCATACTCCCTCCAGTGTTCTCAAATTTCTTGTTCCTCGCGTGTTCTTTCCACTCCAGCCAAGGTGTTCAGCTTCCTGCCACCACCACCCCAACACGAAAATCCCTCTCTCCCTTCCTCTAATTTTCCTCAACCAGTCTCCCTTCTTTCTAGCCACCCTTCCAGTCAGTGACTTCAAATCCCAGCTCCAAATCCACTTTTTTTTATCCTCACCCGAGGCTATGTTCATTGATTTTTAGAGAGAAAGGAAGGGAGGAGAGAGAGAGAGAGAGAAACAGATCAGTTGGCTCCTATACACACCTTGACCAGGGATCAAACTGCAACTAGGTATGTGCCCTGACCAGGAACCAAACCCACAATCCTTTGGTGTACAGGACAACGCTCAAACCAACTGAGCTATCCCACTAGGGCAAATCCACTTTCCTATGAGGCTTTTCCTCCCTCACACCATCTCACCAATCTTTCGTTCCTTTATTCATTCAACAAACAGCTAAGGAGCAATGAGTCTATGCGCCAGGGCTGTCAGGGATGAAATGACACCCCTCACGCTCTCATGAGTTCTCCATGGGTCGCAGACAGTCCATTGTAGGCCCTGCAGTCTGCGCAGGGTATGCTCCGGGAGCATGGACACTGGAGCTGAGATCTGCTACCCAAGAAAGGGCAGCTGGACGATTCCCCTCCCCCTCCCCGACTGCCTCCTATGTGTTCCGGGGCACCACAGCACAATGCTTTTGTGAAGATTTCCTCCAGACTGTTCTGAAATCATTTTTTTCTGAAAGCTGTCTTGGTTCCTAGACTGGAAGCTCTTTTGAGAGTAGTGAAGTCCTGCTTACTTGTCACACTCTCCTGTATTCTTCCCCACTCCTCACCACCACACAAACTGTGTGCTCTGAATTGTCTATTGAACGGTGAGCAACCAGAAAGTTCACAGACAGCCTTATCCAGACCTTGCATACCTCCTGTTCCCCCTCCAGCTGCAAGCTGAGCTTGTGTCCCTTAACAGTCCTGCACACCTGGGCTGGATCAGCCCCACCCCCAGGCACTTTCCTTTTGGGCTATTGTACCCTGTTTTTCAAACACAACAGCCACCAAGTCATTACTACTATAAACACTAACCATGTAGAAGCTGCTGGAATGCAGACCCGGGGAGGGCAGTGATTTTGTGTACTGCTGATTCCAGCACCTGAAAGTGTCTAGCAGAGAGCGAGCACTTACTAAATAGAATTTAATCTTCAAAACAACCTTATGAGGTAGTGACTATTGTGTTCATTTCAGAGATAAAGAAGCTATGGCATGGAGGGTTACATAACCTGCTCCTGTTCAGGCAAACAGCAGGTGAGGGAGCCAGAAATGAATCCAGGTATCTACTCCCAGAGAGAGAGTAAGATAGCAGGGCAGCTGGATGGGAGGTGGGAGGACAGCCTTGGGAGAGGGGCAGAGCCGGCTGGAAGACGCGTGGGGGAACCAGATTAGTGAGACCAGGTGGAGGGAGGGTGCGGGGGGAACTGCGTCGAGGAATGCGGAGAAGGAAGGGAGAGGGAGGGGACGCCAGAGAAAGTTTCACAAAGGAGGCGCTGGGCAGTCTGAGGTTTCTGGGAGACTTGACAGAAAAGGAAGGAAGGACTGGGAGAGGAAGTATAACACCCTGAAGAGGGAGAGGTGCAGAGCCATGGCGGGGCCAGGGACTCCGAAGAAACTGGCCCACACAGGCCGGGAAATCCAACTGGCCAGGTGGGGAGGGGGCTCAGGACATCTGCACAGGGTGACTCCGGACACGGAGGGTGACCGTGGATACCCTGACATAAGGCGAGGCGAAAGAAAGGGACATTTTCCAGTGACGAAAACAACTTTTTTCCAACTTCCTCAAACTGACTGTAGAAGAAACCGAGGGATTGTTGTCTGGGGCTGTGGGGAGGGGCTGGAGGGCACAGAGCGGGACAGTGTCCAGGTGGAGCTGGTGCTAGCCACCGAGAGAGGGTCAGTGCAGCGGAGGCCACCTGCCTAGAAACTGAGGCAGAGGCAGAGGCTGAAGAACGCCCCCATTAGTACTAGATTTGCAAGTATAAGTGTGGCATCTCAGAAACAAAGAATGCTCCCCGCCGCCCCCCCCCCCAGGGAGGCTGGGCCTGGGAAGCACACGGAGATGCTCCCCACTGGGCAGCCGGGCCCCTACCCACCCCCGACTCCATTCCCAAATAGCTCCACCACATAGCTTCACAAACTGACCCCACCAGCCTACCCCCCTCCAGACTCTGTCCCTACTTCGAGAGCACCCAGTTCCTGCCCTCTCGCGGGGTTTGTTCGGCCAGGGCCCACGGCAGCCGCCCCTCCACAGCCGCCCACACTCCCGGGCCAGCCAGCTGCCCAGAGGGACAGAGCTCTGAATCATCTGGAATTCCGGAGGACGGGCTTCGGCTCCCTCGTCTGTCCTTCTCTGACCAAATCTGCCCACCCTCAGCCATCACCTGTCCCCACATTTTCAGACACCCCCTAACCCCAGCAAACGTCCTTGGCTGTCAGAGGCCAGAGCTCCCTTTTATCCCATCTTTCAAACTTCTCCCTGCCCCCCCCCCCCCCCATTCGGAGAAACCTGGGCTTCAGGCAGAGTTTGAGGTCAGGCCACGGTCCCTCCTAGAGAGGGCCCATTCCAGCCCACGGGGGCAGCCTGTGCCCGCCAGCCCACTCCGCCCTTCGTCCCGGGTCTCACCAGTGGCAGCAGCAGGCCAGGCACGGTGGGGAGGCCCATGTCCGGCCAGGTGTGGCCTCTCACTCCCCCATCAGGGCTCAGGCAGTGGTGGCAGAGTCCCGGGATGAGTGGGTCAGGAGGTCGCAAGTAGAGCTCAGGCCTTAGGTGAGGGAGTGAAGGGTTGAGCCTGGGATGAAGATCACGCCCTGGTCCCAGACCCCGAAGGCCAGGACCAGAGCCCGAGTCCAGAGAACGAGAAAATTACAGCGAAGAGGAGGTGGGAGGGGAAGGGAGAGAGGCTGACGGGTGTTGCAACGGCAAGACAGGAAGAACTTGGGGGAGGAGGCAGGAGGAGGCGGGAAGGGGCGGGAGGAGGGGGCAAAGGTTTGTTTAACTCTTTGTAGGGCAGTCAGAGGCACCAGAGTCCTGGATCCACCAATCTGACCACTTCCAACCATACACCAACATGCAGTAAGCCCCCTCCCTCCTCGCCCCCATCACCTGGCTTCTCCCAAATGAACAGCAATAGAAAGACCCAGGACTTTGGCATCAAATTCCCCGGGTTACAGTGCAGACTCCTCTGCTTTTTAGTTGAGTGGTCTTGACAAACAATCTAAACTCTCTGAGGCTGTTTTCCAACTTGCAAAATGATGAGAACCTATCTCATGTGGTTGCTGTAAGGATTTATTGAAACAGGACAGATAAGTGTCTGGTACATGACAAGGACTTGGTGTTCCTTGGTAACTCTTTCATTTTTCCCAGAGTTCTCCACTGACACCCTAGTCTCCCATGTTCTTGGGAATTTACCCCTCCAACCCAAACCGTAGAGTACATCTTAACCCTAGTTTTCTGCCCTGGCTTGGGGCCCTCACACCCTCCCCCTATCTGGTTCTTTTCCAGTCTGTGCTTGGCCGGGTACTGGCTGTTGATTCTGGCTCTGCCACCAAACAATGGTGGGGCTTCAGGCAGGACCTCCTTTGGGTCTAGGCTCTTCGTTATTAACCGGAGGAGCAATGCCTATCCCACCAACACGGGAAAGTGGTGTCATGACAATTAATGGAATCACACCTGTGACAACGCTTTGGGAGTTGCAGATGTCAATCGGATATTACTAGTACGTTCCCAGTATCCTTTTCCCAAATAGTATTCTGTATTTCAGTCCAAACTGACCTTTGGGATCGTCTACTGCACCCTCTCGTTTCATTGATGACAAACAGAGCATGTTCCCTGCAGGGCCCGTGGAAACCCCATTCCAGACTTTAATCCAGGTCCCTGTTTTGCTACAGTAGACACACTGCCACTTTTCTGTCTGTCCATTGGATTCAGGCCCCATTCCCTGACTCTGGGTATTGTATGCCACCACCATTCGTGCAGAACATCTCCCAAATGAATCACACAAGGGTACAATGTTCACTCAGATATCCTCTGGGTATAACAACCTTCTCTATGCCCTGGCTGGTTTGGCTTAGAGGTTGGAGCGTCAGCCTGCAGACCAGAGAGTCCCGGGTTCAGTTCCTGCTAGGGGCATGTACCAAAAAAAAAAAAAAAAAAAAAAAACCCGCCCTGGCCGGTTTGGTTCAGCGGTTAGAGCGTCGGCCTGCGGTCCTGAGAGACCCGGGTTCGGTTCCCGCTAAGGGCGTGTACCTCGGTTGCAGTTTGTCCCCGGCCCTGGTCGGTTGTGCGGGTGGCAGCCACTCAATGTGTTCCTTTCACATCGATGTTTCTCTCTCTCTCTCTGTTCCTCTCTCTCCCTCCCACTCTACCTGAACAAAAAATGGAAAAATGTCCTCGGGTGAGGATAAAAAAAAACAACAACCTTCCCTATACACAGCCCAGACCAGAGGTCCTCCAGTTGCTGAGGTTGGTAGAAATGCAGGAAGACCAGTCTGGAGGGTGTGGCTCAGTGGTTGAGCATCAACCCATGTACCAAGAGGTCGCCGGTTGGATTCCCGATGGGGCACATGCCCAGGTTGTGGGCCCAATCCCCAGTGGGGGGCATGCAGGAGGCACTCAATTGATATTCTCTTTCATCAATGTTTCTATCTCTCTCTCTCCCTCTCCCTTTCTCTCTCTCTAAAATCAATAAAGAAAAAAATTTTTAAAAAACAACAACAAAAAAGAAATGCAGGAATACCAGAGAGAAATGAGGTCCAAGAGTTCTGAGCTCCCTGTTCCTTTTCCCCTTGGTCCAACAGCTGACTCCACTCCCCAGAGTTCATGCTGACCCCCCTCCCCAGAGTCCACCCTGCCTAGCTTTTCCTGCCCCCCCCCCACCTTGATCCTTAGGGCAGAACATCTATAGATGAGAATGGAGCTTGGATATCCCCACCTTGGGCTGACTTCACTCCACCTTAATCTCCAGCTTCTGAAGAACTGGAGAGTTGAGCTAAACTCACAGAGGAGCTCACCTCTACCAACCCCCAGGGAGCCTCCAAGTACAGCACAGTAGACCCAAAGCAGAGCTCTCAAAGCAGTCATTGGAATAATGTGCCAGAGACACAGTACCCAGTTTCCAGTGTGAAGCAAGAAAGGCCAAGGCTCCTCATCTACAAAATGGGGACCATGCATGGGGACCACGCCAGTACCCTCAGGTCATATGCATTGATGATGAAATGCATGTAAAATGTTGAGCAAGTGTTTGCCATATATTAAGCAATAAGTGGTAGCCATATGAATAGTTTGTATTAATAATTAATAACTTCAAAGTTCTATTTTTAATATTACAAGAAAATTTTAATAGTCTGTGCCAACTATTTAAGCCATTACACATAGCCTAGTACAACAAGAGAATCTCTTTCATTGTTCAGGGTAAATGAGAGATGTGGTACTAAAATGTTCAACAAAATTGTCTTTAAAAAGATGGTGAGTGGTAGGTAGATCTAGGAATATGAAAAGTTAACTAGTTTCATGGAGAAATGTCTTCCAGGGGAAGAAATACTGGTGAGGGAGAGAATGAGACAGATGGAGAATGGAAGAGGAGCAAACTAGGGGACAACAGAATTGGCTGTTAGGGTCTATGAGCAAAGGTTAGAGAGAAGACAGCTTCAGATAGCAGAGTCCCTCCTCCCTCATTGCATCTCTCTCTCACACACACACACACACACACATACACACACACACACACACACACACACACACACACACACACACACACACACTCCACAGCAGTACAGAGTCACTGGACTCCAGGTGAGGGTTGCAGCCCCAGCCCTCCCATTCTGACTCCATGGGTCATAGAAGGAGACTCAGGTTCCAGGCTGGTTCTATGAGAATCATGAACTTGGGCCCTGGCCAGTTTGGCTCAGCGGTTAGAGCGTCGGCCTGCGGTCCAGAGAGACCCGGGTTCGGTTCCCACTAAGGGCATGTACCTCGGTTGCAGTTTGTCCCTGGCCCTGGTTAGTCGTGCTGGTGGCAGCCACTCGATATGTCCCTTGCACGTCAATGTTTCTCTCTCTCTCTCTCTCTCTTCCTCCCACTCTATCTGAACAAAAAAATGGGGGAAAAAATGTCCTCGGGTGAGGATTGAAAAAAAAAAGAATCATGAACTTGGGCAAGTCACTTCTCCTGCTACCCTCAGTAAGAAAAGGAAGGCAACTTAATCATTTGTTTCTTCCCTAACACTCTGACTCTAACTCCTAACTCTAAGGTCCAGGGGTAGCACAGAAAGATGGGGTGGAGAGAAGGAAACACCACAGGGTAGAAATGCAGCAGCCAGGAAAACTCCAGGTGGTGGAGGAGCTGACTGCTGTCTCTAAACAGAGCCAGCTTTGTCCAGCAGGTCCCGCCCCCCACCCACCCCCCAGCAGAAGACAGGCAGCTGGGACCGGCAGGGCAAGGTGAGGCTGGGCTGTGGTGAGAACACACGAGGGCAGCCGGGACCTGACAGCTCTGACGGAGGAGACTCTTATAACACCATCATTTCCCTCCTCTGCTGGAGCCTAGGAAAGGGAAGTCGGAAAGCACCCCATCAGTTCTTGGTCACAACCTTTTCTATCTCTCCACTCCTTTCACTATCTCTTCCTCTTTCCCCAAGATTCACTTGGCTCTTCAGGATAGGGAGACTGTAATTGAGGGGAGTAAGATGAGGGCAGCAGGGAAATGTCCCCAAAGATGACAAGGAAGGGTAACTTCTAGGTTCCAGGTCTGGGATGCTGGAGTGGGGGGAGGAACCAGGGGTCCAAAAACCCAAGCTCCACTCAGACACCCCTCAATTTCTCCTCTATTAAAATTAAAAGCTGGAAGGGCTCGGCCAGTGTGGCTCAGTGGATTGAGCTTCATCCTGTGGACTGAGAGGTCCTGGTTCAATTCCCAGTTGGGGCACATGCCTGGGTTGTGGGCTCAATACCCAGTGGGGTCCTGCAGGAGGCAACTGATCGATATTTCTTTTTTATATCAGTGTTTCTATCTCTTTCTTTCTTCCTCTCTCACTAAAAAAAAATTCAGCCCGGCCAGTGTGGCTCAGTGGTTGAGCCATCAACCCATGCACCAAGAGGTCGCCAGTTTGATTCCTGGTCAGGGCACATGCCTAGGTTGTGAGCCAAATCCCCAGTGAGGGGCATGCAGGAGGTGACCAATCAATGTTCTGTCTCTTTGATGTTTCTATCTCTCTTCTTCTCCCTTCCTCTCTCTCTAAAAAAATCCATGAATAAAAAGAAATTCATAAAAAAAAAATTCAAAAATTTAATAAAAACATATTTAAAAAATAAAAAAGCTGGAGAGCCCTGGTCAGTATGGCTCAGTTGGTTGAGTGTTGTCCCAGGTACCAAGAGGTCGCCAGTTTGATTCCTGGTCAAAGCAAATGCCCGTGGGCTCGATACCCAGTGTCGGGTGTGCAGGAGGCAGCCCAGCCCGATCACTGTTTCTCTCTCATTGATGTTTCTCTCTCCCTCTCCCTTCCTCTCTCTTCTAAAACCAATAAAAACATATTTTAAAAAAGTAAAGCTGGGAGGATTCTCCTGCTGCTCTCTCCATGATAGTGCAAGAATGAGAATACACAAGGCTTTGAGGGTCCAGAAGAATGTGGCCTGAGTCTCATCCTCCTCCACTACTACTGGGCAGATGAGGATGTTCTGTATCAGCTGGGTGCTGAGTCGTGGGTACTCAGTGAATGGAGTAGAGGATTATTGACGATGGTAACTAAAGTTGGGAAGGAAAGGAATGTTTATACAATAGACGGGGGCAAGTTATCACAAGCACTACCTAGTAGGTCTCCTGAGGGGAGCACCATGTCTGCACCCTCCCCAAATCACAGGTGCACAGCCATGTCCATGGAGGGATTAGCAGAACAGTGGGTCTCTCCTAAG